GTCCTGAAATTTGCCCCGGGTTTAGCACCCTTATTTGGGGTCTTTTTGTCCAGAAGTTAAAGTTATGTGAAAACTATATACTGCAGTATGGGAATACTTTCTTTATTGGTCCAAATTAGTGCTATCCTGTAAGGGCTCATGTGCCATAAATTACACTTTGTTCCTGAACAATAATACTTATGACGACTTCATTTGAGCCACAGAAAAAGTAGACAAGCAGTCTATGGCAGTTTTTAGAGCACCTCTGTGTTAGATGAACTAGAGAAAGAAGCGATTTCAGAGTACAAGCTGCAGCATTTTGAAGAGCACAAGAAGGTGTGTGGGGTATGTGAAGGCTTTTACCTCCTGGCACTTTTGGGGTGATAGAAAACAGAAGGAATGTTCTTTGGCCTCTAAACCAGTTTGATTCCTGAGCCAAGCTGAAGACAAAGTTTGCAGTGTTAGGGAATCATAGACCCCTGGCAGAACAGGAAGCCTGCTATCTGAGTAGCAGTGGCTGAAGTTTGTTTTCTGCTCACAGGTATTTTAGGCCTGGGCATGCCCAGAAGCATCAGCCAGGAGAATATTTACTCTGCAACTGGAAGCCTTCCCTCATTCTTCTGGGTTTTTTTTTTGGGGGGGGGGATTTGGATTTCCACTGGGGGGAAAAGCAAGGCGCAGATGAATAAATCTGGTTGTCTCCCTCCCAGCATATGATTTTCCATGTTCCTAAGAACTCAGGAAGAAATATGGGAGATCAAGGATTTTGTCTGGGACATGTACCCACATCAGTACAGATTTTATCCTGCCTTGATCACTGAGAGACCCAAGGCTTTGGTGTGCTAGAGCTTGCGACTTAAGTTTAGTCTCTATGTATGAGGAGCCAGCTCCTGCCAACCTAGCAGTTCGAAAGCAAGAAATTGCAAGTAGATAAATAGGTACCACTTCAGTGGGAAGGTAACAGTGTTCCGTGCGCCTTGGTGTTTAGTCATGCCGGCCACATGACCACGGAAACGTCTTCGGACAGCGCTGGTTCTTCGGCTTTGAAATGGAGATGAGCGCCGCAACCCTAGAGGCGGATTTGACTGGCTTTCGAGCAAGGGAACCTTTACCTTATGATGAGGTGAAAACATGAATTCCTATGGAAGCTCATTGTAACAATATAATTACAGTACTTCGAATACAAGGCAAATGCAACTTTAAATGTCATTGGCTAAAAGCATCATTTTACATCTTCCAAACTCATCAAACCCATGTAATAAACAGGAAAAGATAGGGAAACAGCTTAAGGATATATGATGAATTTTACTCAGCTGCTGTTAGTCTAGCCCAGAAAGAGTAAAGATGATCAATAGATTTCAATAGTGTGGTTGCAGTCAGTTTACAAGGCTGAGATCTGAAGTCTGGGGCTGAACTGCACAGGAAATCCTTGAATGGCTGTCATATCATTTGTATTTATTTTAATGGAGTGTAGGAGAAGGCCTTTAACTGTGACCAGAGCAGTGAAGCTGGGGGATACCTTCCCCCAAATACCAATTTCCCATTCTAAATTTTTTTTCCTAAACTGCTGCTATTCCAACATGGGGAAAATGGCAAGCCATTTATGCCTGGAAAATGATATGGATGCAAGAAAATTACAACATCTCTGTTACCAGCACAATTCCTGTGATCAAATTCAGCATCTTTCCACATTGGGTTTCCTAACATTTTTGTTCTTAATACAATCACTCAGGTTTTTTCCTGAGAAATTGGGGGAGGGGATCGAGAGATCTGTACACATAGAGTTGCAGTTGTACATGCTGCTTCTTCTACCTCATTTATCTTTCCTAATCCTTATGTCATTTTCAGAGCCAAACTACACACAACAGTGAGATGCGTGTAATCTCCCACTTCCTTAAAACACAGGCAATTTAAGAAGAACATCCTCATAGGAAAAGGGAAGGGCAGTCACTTGTTAACTCTCCAGGTTTTTCTGTAGAAAATCACCCAGTCCATAGACTTTCCCTGGGTAGGTGGGTGGGGTTTGCCTCCCTGGGGCTTCAGATCACAAATTGCAACAGCTGCATTGATAAAGACACAGAGAAAAACTGTGTGTATGTGGGGGGGGGCAGGGTCATGTGTAGATGGCCCTCATAAAGGACTGATGTTTCCACATTGCAGATGGGAAACTGAAAGAGACAAAGTGACAGGCTACTTAGTAAGGGCCATAGATGAACAAAGCTTAGAACCCATGGCCAAATCAAACACTCTTCACTGGCCCATCCACACATGGCTCAGTGCTTAAGCTGACATGATCACTACTCTCTGAAGAACTGTACGTGCCCAGAAAAGCTTAGACCCAGAATAAAACTTTGATGGTCTTAAAGGTGCCAATGGACTCAAACTTTGGTCTACTAATCACAGTAAGAATTTTGGTGGTCTTTATTTTATAGAGGACAGCTCCATTGTGCAAGAAAAGGAAGGTCGTAGACTAACTCCAATTCTCCCTTCCCAGTTTGGTGTAGTGGTTAAGTGTGCGGACTCCAATCTGGGAGAACCGGGTTTGATTCCCCACTCCTCCACTTGCACCTGCTGATGTGACCTTGGGTCAGTCGCAAGGTCTGGCACAGCTGTCCTTGAAAAAGAGCAGTTTGTGTCAGAGTTCTCTCAGCCCCGCCTACCTCACAGGGTGTCTGTTGTGGGGAGGGGAGGGGAAGGGAAAGGAGTTTGTAAGCCGCTCTGAGACGCCTTTGGGTAGTGAAGGTATAAATCCAATCTCTTCTTCTTCTTCCCTTCTAAACGAGTACTGACTGAACCCAACTATTAGCAAAAGAACCCAAAACCAACCACTTTGTTTTATTTTCTCCTGGGCATCTAACAGAAGTTTGAAAAAACACAGTATGCACTGGCTGCTCCCCATGCCAGAGTTCAAGCATGCTTTATGAGATACACTGATGTTTCCTGTTCCTCAAAAGAGACAGCAGTAATAATTTATCATTGCTAACAATTCCATGTGTAGGAATTAATCACAATATATGGGACAGGGTGACAGGTTGATTAATGGAATTCAAGCACCAGCAGAACTTTCATTTCCTCATTTAAAAATGCTAGACATTTCTAATGGGGAATACAGAATCTGAACTCCCCACATTAGTCCCCTAGTTTACTGGGAGCTTTTCTGCTTTGCTAGATGAAAGGCACAAGCCTTATCCACAAAGGCATAGCAGACAGAGAGATCCTCTTAAGGCATAACAACACCCTTTATTTCACCCTCCCACGCAGGTCCACATAAATACTCAGCACCCTAGGTCATTATGAGGAACTGGACATCTGAATGTCTCCCCTGGCCCCATTCAGTCTTTCACTCCTCATCAGAGAACTAGAGGGGGGATAGGGGAAGTGCACAAAGCTACCCATTCCTCGCAAGATCCTCAAATGCTGAGGGCCCATGTGACAAAAATGGGAAGGAGAAGGACTCAATTACATCCTTTAAGCAGAATTGTTGCACATTAGTGGCAAACAGTCAAGGCTTCCCTTCTGCTAAGTAAGGCACCTTCTCACATTGTCTGAAGACTCCTCCTCACTGGAGGAGGACTTCAGAAGGAAGTTCTTGGATCCAGTCTGTCAATTTATGCTCGGACAGCTCCAGTAGGTTTCTGATCTTAATGTCACCAGGATAATCAAACAAGCATAAATGCAATGGATGTCTCATTTATTCTGAGACTTGTGAAGCTACCTTATACCAAGTCAGACTATTGGTCCATCTAGCTTAGTATAGTAGCCCCACATGCAACAGCTGAGCCACACAGTCCCCACCCCCAACTTCTTGCAGATAGTAATCAAACTTAACGGGAAGATTAAAGAATTTCCCTGTGACTCTTCCCAATTTTAGTGACACTTTTCATTCTCAACTATTGTGTCTAGTTCCTCAGAGCCTGAGAGAAGAGGGTACTTCACAAGCTCCAATTGGTATGCTGGTTAATACTGACTGATATGATTATGGTCCACTTGAAGCTCATTCCACATATTCTGTGCCACTTTCTATGCACTTTTGGAAGTTCTGCAGTAGCAGAAGAAGCATGGGCTACATCTAAGGCAACACCACAGACATTCATCCTATATCGTGGCATATCATTCAGTGTAGAAATCAACCCTCAGAAAATACGTACATCAACAAAGCAATTCAAGGGTTACAAAAGGGATGTAATAGGAAAGAAGGGGTATGTTGTAGACCGATCTGATACTCTACTATACAAAACCTAGTGCACATTAGATAGCTGAACACTTCAGATAATGCAACATGAAGACTGTACAAGCAATTCACTGGAACACAAGGCAGTCAAGTGTGCAAAAATATCCCAACAGCGGTTTATAAATCTTACTGGGATCCCTGGGACTTGATAAATCTGTTTTTAAAGAGACACTCAAAATAATCTAACATGCTTTTATTCCAAGCATCTTGTTGCATAGTATTGAATAAATGCTACTGCACTTAAAAAAACAACAGCAGCTAACCAGAGCCAACAGCTTTCTAAACATACAAGAGAATCACCTGGGTCTACATATCTACAACAGAGCTGCTTGATTCATTTGATTTTGGGTTTTCCTTTTATTATATTTCCTCCTCTTTGGATTGTTGAGTTGGGGTTTAAAACCTCATTTTAAACCTCAATCCAATAATCCAAACAGGAGGAAGTACAGAACAATCAGGGGGATATTAAAAGGAAATTAATAAAGCTCTGGTGCTGAATTTGCACCACTGCATATTTGATACTAGATGCCAGAATAGGAACCGGAAGAAGACCTTAAAACAGGATTGTGAACTATTCAAGCAGAAGGAAATAGTGGGATATGGTGAATGACTATTTTCCTCAAAAATAGCTTCAAGGGGAAAAAGAGGAAGTCCGTGTATGGAGGAGGTAGGGAAATGGCCAAGAAGAGGGACTTCTCAAGAACGTCAAAATACTGTGCAAAATCAGTCATTTAGTATTTGAAGGTTCTAGTGGTCTTCCCCACCTGTGACAGCATATTTGGTAGTGTTCCACATTTAAACTACAGTACAAGACAATTCATTTTTCCCCTCTACTGTTGCTTCTGTCACATACCTCTGACAAACGCAAGTTACCACAAAAACCATGGATGAAGAAACTGGATGATAACCCCTATTCCACAGAAATTTGATTCTACAGCAATGGGCCTGATCCTGAAAACACTGCAGAACACTTAATATAACTGAAGGAGCTAAGGACTGTTTATATGAAGCTAACAGGATAAGACCCACACCTACAGTTTTAAACAGGTTCTAGTTCTAAACTATCTGATCAGAGAAATCCATGGCCACTCCCTGCATATGGACCGCCTTGTATGCAAACTGTTCAGATCACTCAAAGGAAACTCCAAAAATGAAGTCAACTATCATTCTCTATACTTCATAATGATGAATTATGAAACTTTTAACAAATGTCACATACAGAGTAATTTCTACCATGATATCATTCAAAGCCACACCCTTAAAAATAAAGGTTTTTTTATTGGCTTTACTTTTTTTGTAAACTACCATTACAGAAACCTCAGAGTAAACCCCTTCAGTAACTGCCGTTTGTGGTCCCTCCCCTGCTGCCAGGTGAGAGAACTGGGTCACAAAGATGAAAAGTCACTGTTCTGCTTCCAAGCTGCCTCCTTTCCCTGTGAGCAGTTTGCCTTGGCCTCCGTGCTTCTGTGGCAAAACAACTCGTCTTTGTTTCAAGGTGTCACTTTCTTGTAGGTAATGTGGAGGTGCTGAGTCATTGGCTGTGTAGTGGTTGCCATGGAGACAGTCTGTTCTAGTTTCCCATCGGAATTGAGCCTGAATTTTCTAGTAATCTAAGGAAAAATACAAAACAGAAGGTTTATGATTTGATTCTGTTCACAATTCAAGAAGAAACAATAGCAAAGCAAATCAAGGCACATGGACTGAATAAACTTAAACACTTACTGCCCAGTGCCCACCCCTACAAAATTCCATACAGACAATATTATTACCAGTTGTAATTCTGCTTGCTACCAATAATACAAAGTTTTGTTACCAGGGGGTCCGAAGACGAATGCACTGAATTTCTCAATAAATCATTAAGTAATAACTGACTCAAAACCCAACACAGGCTCTTTCAAACTATTTCAGCCCTTGGTGCATCCAGAGATCTTGCTCTGAAAAGGGTCAGCCAACTCAAGTGTGTGTCCTTAAAAACAGAGCTTACCTAAGAACAGAATGGGAAACGGGAAATAAATGAAAACACACACACATACAAATATTTGGGCCATCTCTACTCAGCATTGTGCCTCATTTGAAAGCCACTCCTGCTTCTAATTTGTCAAGCCAGATTTACTCCAGGCAACAGACTCTGAAGTCGAGGGCTTACAATAAGAGAAAAATGGGACACAGAATTAGATCCAGCTCCTCTTAAACTGGAGAACAGAGTCCAAATAACAGTGTAGGCATCTGAAATGCACAAGGTCTTATGAAGAAAGGCTTTTGAACACTGCAAGCCAATTCAGTCTGCTCTTTTTGGCACAGAGTACATGAGCTGCTTGCAAAGGCCCTTCCACTTATTTCAATAAATGATTTTTGCACATAATCCAAGATTTTGTGTATGTTAGTCAGTGCCCTTTGCCCCTTTTGCCATAGTTACCACCGTTTTTAAAGAAGAGTGGAAATGAAATATCCGGGAGCAAGGAGCCCAGCCCAAGAAACACAGCCAAAGGTTATTTCACTGAGTGCAACTGTTCAAAAGCAGCAGAGAAGCCTTTGATATGTTTCAACTAGGAAAGCTTTGTAACTCTAAAGCTTTCTAATGAACCAGTTACTTTGAACACACAGCAAGGCAGTAAACCCACAAATGTAAAATCCACTTATTTATAGAGGAAGGGATCTATGGAATTAAACATTTCTCCCTTTTAAAACAAACAGCTGGAAATGCCATTTTAAAAGCCATTTACACAGCAGTTCTGTGCTGAGTTACTGCAGCCTAAGCCCACTCATTAGATTACAATTCAGATAAAGTGGATGTAGCGCAGATCATAAATGGTCAACTGTTTTGCAGCTGTGCGGCCAAGTTACCAGCCAGAATTTGAAGGATTTGCTGGGAATCCCATACCCCAGCGAAACGTCAGCCAGGGGAAGATCTTTCCTTTTTTGTTTTCTTTTTTAATGTTTACATTTTAAGTAATTGTGTAAGTTGCTCTAAGCCCTTGGACCAGTTGCTATGGTACTTGTAATGTTAAAACTGAGTTAAGACTATCAATGCCATAGTCTGGCTTTTTCATGTTAATGATTTAACAGAATCTTTATATTTAATATAGCAAACCTTTAATATAATGATATTCATCATGGATTTCAGATTTTTCAGGTAACACATTTTGAAGATCAGCTCAGAAAGTCTGACTATGCTGTTATTGTGGCACTGTCTGTGGAGGGAGGACTGAGTTACTAGCAGTTACCGTAATTGCTCTCTAATTTGAATATATATTGCAAAAGTGTTTATAAAACAGGAAGAATTTTGTAGGACTATATCTGCAAAGTCTGCTATCAAGACTACAAAAGTCTCTAGCTGCCCTAGACTTTATTTACTTACTACATTTTTATCCTATGTCCAAGGAGCTCCGAGGAGCAAAAGGCAGTGTATAGTGGTCTCCCTTCCTCTATTTTATCCTCACAACCACCCTGTGAGTTAGGTTATGCTGAGAAAGTATGGCTGGCCCACAGGGCTGCCATTCCCCTGGTGGGGCCAGGGGATCCCCTGATTTCAGGGGCCCCAATCCACTATGGCCCAGCCGGCCAGTGGGGGAAGCCCCACCCCTGAGAAGCCCCTTCCTGGCAACCCCGGCATTAGCATAATGATGTCACCTGGGAGTGACGTCATCAGGTTTCTGACGGCGGGGTGACGCTCTAGGTTTTGGGCAAAACTCTATGGTTTTGAGGCCCCCAAAACCATAGAGTTTTGCCCAAAACCTACAGCATCACCCCCAATGTTGGAAACATGATGATGCCACTTCCAGGTGATGTCATTGTGGCATGTAGGCCTTGCGCATGCAGCAGAGGAACTCAAGGAAGGATCGGGAGCCCTCCCACCCCACCGGCAGCCAGGTAGGACCCGGCAGCCCTACTGGCCCAAAGTCTCCCAGCAAGCAGAATGATAAAAGGGAGAATTGTTACTTCAAGAAGAATGAAAGCTATTTTCTTTGAAACTATAGCAGCACACATTTCTTGTCATACATGAATTTATCAAGCAAGCATCTATACTCAGAGCACTCCTAAAAGATGCATGCTTAAACCCACAGGTCTTTCCCAACATAAGGGCTCCAACAGAAGAGGCTAAGTCCCTCCATAAAATGCACATTTCAGGCTCATGCAGTGTCAATTTACTTCAGGGCTATGCAAGAAGGGAGGAGATGCTTAGCCCTTCAGCCTCTACTTAGTTTTTCTATTCAAGACCAGTTCCTTCACTCTGATATTAGCATTTTAAAAGACAGAACACAGAACCCTATGGCCCTATAACTAGGCACTTTTTTGGTATTGGTGTCCTCTGGTGACTGACCCCTACTGGGGCCCTGGGGGGTATTCAGAGAGGTGGCTGAATAAAGCCTCTTCCTGCCCCCAGTACTTGCCAGTGTTGATCCTGCTTAGCTTCTGAGATCTGACAAGATTAGGCTTGCCTGGGCTACCCAGATCAGGGCAAGTGAGTAGGCAGTTTTGATAATGCAAGCAGTATCCCCCCCCCCCCAGCTCTCATAATCAAAAGACAGATCAACCATTGCCATTTTTATGCAAGTATCTTGAATGTATCTTACCAGAACACCTACACAAAGACAATATGATTAAATGTGTTGCTATTCTTTTTCTTTGGGGAAATGTGTCAAAAATCATCCTCCAGTATATCAACACAACACAGTTCCTCTCTCAGTCCAAAAATAAATCTAGCCCACCACCTAGTGGTGCATAAAACGACAGGACTGGAACGTAGGGCTGCCAGACAATCTTTGGATATCCTGGCTATACCACACACAATGCCATACAATAGTTATATAACTATAATTGTCTATCACCATTATACAGACCTATTCTTTCTCCTTTGCCTCTCTCTACTGTGGGTTATAAGCCATCTCAACCTCTGTGTAAGTGTCCAGCATACTCCAGAAATAAAAGTAGTAAGGAAATCTCAAGGTCCTCCCCCTCCCTACAATCTATGCAGTCTTCCATGTATCTATTGTATGTCCACACACGATAAAGCCATAGTTTGCAGCCTTTGCTACTGTTCTTTTTTCACCAAGAGACTGATGAGCAAAAATGAGCAACACAAAGCTGCTGAACTTCTTCAAAGTCTGCAGAAATTGCCTTTCTGCTTTGTGTTCATGCTGACGAGTGCAGGGATTTTTTGTCTTCCTTCTTATCAATGGAATGTATTTGCTCTGCTAAACTCACCAGCTACAAAGAGAACAAAGGCTGCCTGGTGACAAAGAACAAAGTTTTAGGATATGAGCTATGCTACTAGTTAGAAAACTGTGGATAAACTGAAGAGGAGAAAACAACCTTGGGGGAAAGAAGAATACTTGCTAAACATGTAAGAATTTCTTCCTCAACAGGTAGAATATTAGGCAATTACAATGTGACAGGTAATAAGTTTGGATTCACAACCCTCAGGGGAATTAAGTCAAATGAATGGGTCCCAGTCAATAGGACTGTATCAGTGGAAACAATGTCCTGTTTTCTTCCAGTTTAGAACTAAAAGGAGGCAACTACAGGGCTTTTGTCCTGAATCTTTAGTTTCTCTCATCAGAGGTGATGACTAATGCTAACAACACTTAACATTGAAATAGTTTTCAAGTACTCAAAGCGCATGCATTATTTTAGTAATCCTTATGACAGCTTTGTAAGGTAGATAATCCTTAGCTACCTTATAGGCTGGATAAGCTATAGGAGAACACACCTCCAGATAAGTCAAAGCCAAAACAAACTTCACAAATGTAATGAATAGGCACAAGGATGAAAGAAAACGGCTCTCAATGGATAGGATCAATGCTTCCATAAACAGTCATTTAATGATGAAGCTGAACCAGCACATGAAACAGCATTTCCTGGGAGCCATCAGACTTAACCATTTTTCAAAAATACTTAAAGCTGTTCTATTCACAACCCATCCAATCAGCAAGGCTTGTTTTTCCCTTCTAGGAAGACAAGATACATATCCAGGTATCCACTCAGTGGCTCTCTGACATACCACCTGTGGCTCTTCTATTGTTTTTTTTTTTAAGTTTTTCTTATTTTTTGTTAATAACATAAACTTTACATACATCAAATACTTTTTGCTTCTAAATTAATAAGGATAATTGCTAGCATTTCTAACATCTATTCCCTCCATACAGCATTAGTAAATCACCATGAGTCCGACCATTATAGAACAACTGCTACAACCTATAAATACAGCCATTTATGATAGATCTGTTTATCAGGGAGAATATCATTCGTTACCATGTAGTCCAGCACAGGGGCCCATGTCCTAACAAATTTAGTGTAGGTTGGCGTGTTACTATTGTTCGCTCTTATCAGGGAGTCTGTAATTTTCGCCATTATAAATTGGTCCCAAATTTTTTCTTGCCATGTTGCAATCGTAGGGAGATGAGGAGACTTCCAAGCTGCTGCTATGGTTAACCTGGCTGAGGCTAATAACGTAGAGATAAGTTCCTTACTACCCCCTGTACCCAAATCTTTCCAGAGATTTAACAACAATGCTCCCCACAGTGATACACCCATGTCATCAGGGGTCCTTTCGTAGAAAAAGGGGTGCAGGAGCTCATTAGCATAACTCATTAGCATAACTTATTTGCATATGCCACACCCCCTGACATCACCAGAAGTGTGTCAGAAGGCAACACCCACCCCTCAGGCTCCACCCCAAAAAGCTCCAGGTATTTCCCAACTCGTAGCTGGTGAGCCTACCTGGAGAAAAACTGCTTCAAAAGCACAAAGAAAATTTGTGGTAGGGGATCAGCTTTTGTGAGCCACTGCTCTCTTCTACAGATACTTCATAGCTGAAGAAGTGACCAATGACCCAGTTACGAACAGAGGCTACAGTTCCTGCATTTGCAGAAGTCTACATATATGGGCAACATCCTCCTCACTTGCTACCTACATGTAATGGTTGATGACTTTGTTTCAATGTATCTGAAAATGAGTGCATGAACATGAAAGCTTATACCCAGAATTAAACTTTGTTGGTCTTAAAGGTGCCACTGGACACAAACTTTGTTCTATTGCTTCAGACCAACACGGCTACCCACCTGAATCTATGCAAACCAGAATTATTCAAGAGGGCTCTTCTACACAGGCAATAGGGTTACACTGTACAAAAGACTTCACAAAGTCAGCGCTTGCCGGACTTGGGGAGAAAGAGGCAGCAGCGGCAGCCAGAGAGATGCAGGGCTTTTGGCGGGGGCTTGGGGGGCTTTGGCAGGGGGGCCAGGTCCAGTTTGGTGCTCCAAGGGCCGGCTCATGTTCTAGGCCTAGTTCGCCTAGCGGGTGAGACGGCCCTGCTCATCAGTACATTTGAAGCCCCAAGGAGCAAACACTGACCCTCCCCCTGCCATGGACATTTCAAGTAGAGGAAACAGTGCAGGGTAGGGGGAGGCAGGTGGGCACTAAAGTTAAGATCAAGTTCCCAGCACAGAACTTGAAAAACATTTTTGATCACACTGACCCACGGGAAAAAGACCATTCTCAACCTGAAACTGGTGATGTGAGGGAATGAATGTGGAACGTTCTGCACTCAAAGCATGTGCTCTATCACGAAGTTACAGCTCTTTCAGAAAGATTTCTCCTCTCTGGGGATCTCAGAAATTCCAAAGAATTTCCAAAGGGTAGGGGAGTGAAGACACATCCCCCCCAGGACAACAGGCACAGCTTGCATATTAACTTTCATTTCTGCGATGTTATTGGCAGTAAAGGACTTAAACTTCTCTCTGATGTCTTTCTTCCAAATACTTCAACATATTCAGAAGGATTAACTGGGCACAAAATAATTTTATGAAACAGCACAAAATAATTTTATGAAACATCTAACGCTCTGAAGACTTCAAAATAAAATTAATTTGCATTACAAAAACATATAAAAACAGTTCTAATTTATACCGAGTTCTACTGTTATTTCCACAACGCACCAAGAAGAACTCTGAAAGAGGATGGATGAGTATTTCCAGGACACTTTGTGAGACCATTCAAAAACAAAAGAACCAGCCTCTAGAAGATCACAAACTTGGGGCACCATTTCAGATAAGGAATAGAAAGACGATAGCAAGGTTCACAAACCTACCCTTAGATATAATCAAAAAATAATTGGAAGGTCTCTTAAAATACATCATTGTTTTCCTTTTTATTTAACTTTGATTATTTAACTTTGACTTTTTACTCCTCATAAAAACTTTAGCAATGTTATATAGGCACACATAAATTCTTTACCCTGTCTCTGGACCAAACATAGTGTGTTTTGTGACTACATGTGGTAGGCAGACAATTGCATGTACTGCACCAGTGAATTTTTCAAAACCATAGGTGCTTGGGAGGAATAATCACACAGGGGCTTAAAGACAGTCGAGGTCATGCCTGTAAGCTGCACTACAATATTTCAGAAAAACTTCCATGGTTATTTGTTAAAGAAAAGAGGTAACTCTTCAGGCAGGTTATGAGATGCTAAATAACCAGCTATACCGAGCTTCAGCAGTACTCACTTGCTCTACATGGGGCTTCTTGGCAAATGAGATCCTGGCTATAGAATGGGAAGCTATAGAAAGCTCCTGCCCATTCACCTCTCCTTCCTCCACCTCTACCAAACCTGCATCAAGAAGAGAAGCTGTTAATACTAACATAGCTGATAAAAATGAACACTCTGGTTGGGTGTAAATCTTAGAGATAAATACATAAATTGGAATACTATATATACACTTATGCACATACTATTGGTCTGTAACAGTCAAGGTTGTGTGGTCTGAGATACAACAGTAAAGTAAGTACTTTCCAACAAGGTGGATTTAAAGCTGAAGTGAGAACGGCTGATGTGAGTGGTTAGTACCTGTATTCTGAGCACTGATGAAGGCCACCTTGTTAGTGTCTGGTTTGATGCGGATGAATCCACATTCTCGATGCATTGGCTTCCTGGTATCTGGATGGAAGGCGTTGAATCTATTAGGATATAAAATATTAGGATACAAGGTGCCAGAAGACCACTGAAGATATTCGCATGCCTCTATAACAAATACTCCACAGAAGTTAGAGGAGCAGACTAAGTCTTTAGAAAAAGAATATAAGCAGTCTTCCAGTGTGATATATTGGTCAGAGTGACAGACTCTGGGAGACCCCAGTTCAGATCCCCACTCTGCTTTGGCCCAGTCACCCACTCTCAGCCCAACCTACCTCACAGGGCTCTTGCGAGGATAATATGGAAGAGAGTATGATGTAAGTTGCTTCGGGTGAGAAAGGTGGGGTAAAAAGGAAGTAAATAAACAAATCTCCTCAAGTAGTAAACCTGAAGCCCTTTTAAACATAGGAATTCACAGGAATGTTATTGCTATATTTTAATGGTTCAAGTTGTATGGACAGATCCTTGGAAAGACTGCTCTATTTCTGGATTTTCGGACCCTGCATCATATTTTTACCTATCCTATTTGTCATACTTGTCAAGAGGATATTTTTCTTATCATTTGACAAACTGTGTTTCTCCCATCAGGAACACCATGCAGCCATGCAGTAGCAGACACTACAGGAGATGCATGGCAGTGCTTTTCTTCTCTGATATAAATGCCCTACCTACACAAGTTTTCTTTACTGTTACAATTCTGGCCTTTTGTGTTGAGCGGTTCTTCTAATATGCTTCAGAGAGTGCTGGCTCTGTGCATTTGATCAAATGTCCTCTGGGCAGAAAACCATGTCTCCTTCTCTAAGCCTCTGACCCTCTCAGTCCATTTATCATCAGATAGCTTTTCCAACAATACATCTCTTAAAAGTTATGCAGAGCAAGAGCTGTTGCCAGTTGCCTAAGTAGTTTGGCGAGTCTGCTATTTAAAAAATTCTCTGATCAGATAATATCTTAAAAGCTGACTCCCTTCTCAAAGCAAGCTTTTAGGAGTACTCCATTTTTCTCATTAGTACGAAAGTGTGTATTTTAGCCAGGCAACTCAGCAAAATGGTATGCAACGAGGACAGCCATGTGGCAAAGTGCCGTTAAGTTTCACACTGGAAGGGAACATTTTAATAGGCTACAGATTAGTTTTAGCATGGTATAAATGTTGCAAACAAGTACAAACAAACCCCCCACTAATAACAACACCAACAAATTAAAAATATTGTTTCAGAACATATTTAAGTAGTTACATGCATAACATAGGATAGCTTGAGGAAGAAACTGTACACCTACAAATCAATTGTATTTTGAATGTGCTGCTTCATCTCGCATTAACATCTATTCAGCATTTGTATATTTCACCCCCAAACCAAAATGTATTTTTATTTCCATATTTTCTTTTATTTGTACACAAAAGTCTATTTTTGCAGATCAAACCAGGTAGAAAATAGTGATATTTCAAAAAAAAAATTGAAGGAAAATAAATCACCTTTGATCACTACCCGCCCACCGTTTCTGAAAGCGTTCCTTCTTGATAACCCCCCAGGACTCCATTAGCCACTCAAGTCAGCAGAAAAAAGGTGGCCAGAGCTCCTCAACAGTCTCCCCCTCACTAACATCACTCTTCCCCAACACCCATCACCTCATGCCCTGCATTTTACTCTCCCCAAATTCATGCTTCAGCCATTCTTCCGTCTGCCAGCCTACTGACATATGCTCCCCTTTCTTTCTTCTTTGGTGACTTCCACAGTGGTATGGCTACCTCTACCACCTGCACCTTTTATCTGTTACAGTTTTCCTCCAGATTCCCCAAGTACTTAATTGAGAAGACTATGGGGAGTAATGAAATTATTTAAGGCTTTAAAAAAACTTGTATTTCTATTCACTTACTTCAACTACTTGGGAACAATGTTCCCGCTAAGCTGTGGAGTCTTGTGAGCAAAAATTTTACTTTTTGAGCTACTGGCATTAAAGTTGTGAGTGAGCAATTTGGCTGCTGCATAAATTACTTTGCACTGGAGCCATCCTTCCTGAGCTAAGGCAAGAATGTGTGAGCTGGAGGCTAAAAAAATTGTGAGCTAGCTCACACTAACTCAGCTTAGAGGGAACACTGCTTGGGAACCTATGCTTGGCTGTTCTGCACAAGAATTACAGATACACACTTGAAATAGAGACTGTATTATGCTTGCACACCTATACGTTTATAGATCTTCAAGTGCTCAGGGGTCTACCTGCACTGCTAATGAAAACAGCTATATCAGTCAGGGCCTACGTGGCAGTTCTTCTGTAGATGCTTAGCCATTTCTGCAAAAGAAGTCACCTAGTTGATAATTGTTTTCTGAAATTTCATTATATATTGTACAGATTACTGTTGTATTTTTATTCATTTTTCCTTTTTGCCTAACCCTTGATACCTAGGTAGAAAAAACTGAAATCTAAGATCTGCCTTGAGTTTCAATGAGGAAGACATACTAAAAAAGAAACAAAATTTTTAATATATTAAATAAACAGATTCCTCAAACAGTGTGATCTCATACAGGTACACACTTCAAAAGTGTAATTAATTTTTTTAAAAGGCATACGCTTCTTCAAAGTAAGTAAGGAACTAAACTCACGAGAAATTCAGCATGGGCTGTCCCACATGAGAGATCTGAACTTCTTCGAGGTACTGAAAAGGCTTCATTGTAGGGAAGGTCCCATCTCCTGGTGGGTCTGACAGCCAGGTACCCAGCATCCAGGATAAAGGCTCAATCACTGGGTTCAACTGTGAAGTTTCTGTGAAAAAAAGAAGATGACTGAAAATTGAAAAATTGTGACAAATCTTTGACAACCAAAAGTAATTAAGATTTTTCCACATCATAGTAAGCTATTAGAGCCAAGTAAGTTATTTGTGTTGCTTTTTCTGGGCTGGAGGTGATTGTGGCTGTTCCAACATCTTCCATTTTAACTGGATATTAATTAGCTCTCCTGTAAACATGCATTTAGTGTACTGTACTGGTATCCCCATACATCTCATAGATTGAGGTAGGTTAAAAATTTAAGCAAGCTGAAATGTCAAGATCACAAATATATGGAACAGAAGAGAACAGTTTTTACCAAACAACTGCTGTGTTGGCCATTTCATTATTCCTTAAGCATTTTGTTAATACTGAATTTGACAGGTGCAGCAGGTAAGTACCTGAGTTCATTTTCTAGTAATACTGAAATAAGTAAGGACCACATGCAGGGTATCAAAATCAGAAAAATATTCAGGAACAAACTGACTAGACACTATTTGTAGAAGTCTCTATGTACTGGTCTTTGTACTTAAGAGCTCTATTCTTAGGTGTCTGAGCTATAAAAGATCTGACCCCATTTAAAGAAAACCAATGAAGTCAATAAAGGGTGCAAAAAAAAATCATGTTGCAAAGTGCTAAAAGAACTGTGTGTTAGTCCAAGAGAGATTAAGGCTGGGCTTGATCTTCAAACATGAAAATGTTAGACACCCCACACACACTGTTCTCTATTACTAGACAGGAGATAACATGCTTGAATTATGGGCAGGCAAATTTAAATTAGGTTTTAAGAAAAACCTTGGAATAAGTTGGCCAGTAGACTCAAAGGGAACTTCAGTCACACTTGGAAGATCTAATAAAGCGTGCTAAATCTTGCCTCCACTCAGGGGACTGAACCATAATGCTGAAGACTTTTACAACACTGATTCCCCACTGAGACGGTCAGAAAGAGGACCCAGTTTAACAAACCTCTCTTTTGCTGTTTAAAGTATAATTCCAGGATAGTCATAGTTGTTATGAGAGTTGGTATATTATAGCAACTGTGAGCCCTGAACCTGAAAGTCCCCAGTACAAATCTCACATGAGCCATTAGCCTGCTAAATGGCATCAGGCAAGCCATTCTCAAACTCATTCCTCCTCCTACCGCTATCATTTGTAACAGGAGGATAAATACCACTTACCTGCCTTACAAGGTAGTTGTAAGGATTCCTGGGAATGCATATGAACCCTTCCAAACTCACCAAAAGCATATAAATGTCAACGTTATTTTTGTCAGCAGAAAGCAATGTTACAACGAAACAGTTTATAAATGGGAAAGGATGGGTATTGTAGAAGGAACAATGAAGACCACCAACTGAAAGGTGAATGACACACAAAAGATAGACTAATACTATTTTGCATAAGTATCTGACTGCCATTACTTGTAAATGTTTGCTAAATCCCAACAATATAGGATTTCCTCATTCTTTAATGGTGACCTGAATTCTTTCTACTATGGAAATTCTTTTCTACATCAAGATTACTATCTTAATCTCATCAGAATCTTAAGAATTCTCTAGCAAAACAACAGCTCCTCAAACCAATTATAATGAAACAAAGTTTGATTCCAGTGGTACCTTTAAGACCAACAAAGTTTAATTCTAGGTATAAGCTTTTGTGTGCATGCACACTTCTTCAGACCAACACAGCTACCCACCCAAATATAGTAAAGCCTTCTTAGAATAGGTTCTCACATCCAACATGGCTGTTTGAAGGTCAAATGAAACAATACACATTCCTACCCCATTGGACAGAGACTTACAATGAGCCACAACACACCCCCTCTACATTTGTTGTAGGAAACATTCTGTCCAGAATTCTTAATATAAGCTTCATTTTAGGCCTAGAAATAAATAATATTAACATGTACCATAAGCATAAACAAAGAGGAAAAAAACTTATGATGGGAATTAGTGATAGGGTGGAATCCAAAATGAGGAGGGATTTTGGGGGGGGGGTCAGCTGTGAGTTGGGAAATCCCGAGATTCTGGTGGTAGAGCCTGGGGAAAGTGGGGTTTGGGAAGGGGAGGGACCTCAGGAGGGTATAATGCCGTACAGTCCACTTCCAAACCAGCCATTTTCCCAGGGGGAACTGACATCTGTCATCTGGAGACCAGGTGTAATTCCAGGCACTACCTGGAAATTGGCAACCCTAGGGTCAGCAGATATTTAGGGTCCACCCACAGATCAATGTAGGATCAAAATGAGACTGCTTCATAGTTCAGACCAGTCCTAAATAGATCTACCCTTCCTGGTAGTCACTTATTTTACTTACCAAAGAAAAATGGAAATTGAGGAAGGCATTCTATTTCAGTCCTGGTGTCAAACTCGGGCATTTGACCAGCTGTACCTGTTGTATTTCTACCCAGTATAATTGGGCTATATCCCGCTTGCTTCTTGCTCCCTGCCATTTGTTTAGCTTCCTACTCCCTGCACCCTTAACTCTCCCATGGAGCCTCAAAGACATCTTTCACATGGGAAGTGTCCTTGAAGTAGAGTCTGTGCCTGGCTAGTTGTTGACCGTATATCTTTCATGGTCTTTGTAGCAATGCTGACGTGTATGAATGGAATTTAGGGTTGTTCCTATATGTGGCCTTCCCGCATTTGCACCCCAGTCCTGACAAAGCGTTTGAACCCATCGCATCTCATATCTCTAAATAAAGCATTCACTGAAGAAAGTGCATGTGGAGAGTGATTTGACTGGGAACCTGACACTTGGCTGCCACCACTGTGAAAGTGCACTAGGGAGTATAGCAAATGTAATTCTCATACTTTCCTGCACCCCTGGCTGCTGCTGTATGTAGACATATCACTCCACACAGCATACTCAACAGTCTACAGTTCCTATACTGCATCATCAATATCTTTCAATAAGTAAGAGAAAAGGAGACAGAGAGGTGGGATCATGGAGGGTGTGGTATAGTGAGGAGTCCTTTAGGCTCCGTCACAGTCTTGATGAGATCTGCAAATTAATCTGATTTATGTGGGCCCAATTTGAATTGGAAGGAGAGGTCTATTTGGTTGGTCTGCTCTCACCAACTGGAACAGAACTACCTCATTCCTATAGTTATGGAGAACCAATCAGAAGTGATGTTCCCTCTAAGTTGTGGAGTCTTTTGAGCAAGAATTCTACTTTGTGAGCTACTGGCATTAAAGTTGTGAGCAGGCAGTTTGGCTACTGAATAATTTAGTTTGCTCTGGAGCCATCCTTCCTGAGCTAAGACAAAAATGTGTGAGCCAGAGACTAAAACACTGTCAGCTAGTTCACACTAACTCAGCTTAGAGGGAACACTGATCAGAAGTTCACTGCTTTTTAAAATGAGTCTGTCTTTAGAGTCACATGCCTTAACATTCTATACATGATATAAAATAAAAAGGAATGGCATGAGATCATATATTATAAGACATTTGCTCACTGATGATATAAGCAAGTGGATATACCTCCAAGTTTAACAGGATCATTGAGCCACAAAGGGTATAGTTATTACAAATAATAGACATGTGCCATTTCCATTAATAGTTTGAAGGTGGTGGTCTTTACTAGCATCCAGAAACCAGATACAGAATTGCCAGAGACTCAAGACTTGCCTATCTGTATGATTAAATGCAGAAAGTGCTACATTTTTATTAGAAGGAACATAAAGGAAAATCAAAAACCACAAATAAATGTTCCATAGGAAAATATGCCAGGCTTTTGAGAAATCATGGTTACACCCACACTCTACAAACGCCTAGTTCTAAAACACAGGAACAGTGGGAACATAGGACTGTACTTCGGCTGTTCTTAATATTTTAGAATTTATAAGCTATACAATAATACATGGTGTATTCATGCAAGAGCTGTCTGTAAGAAGAGACCTTTGTTTGGATCCATATATATGTATTTTAAAAGTTTTCTACTATCCTGGCTGCTCAAGATGACCAGAAGCTGGAGCTATAGTGGAATTACAGGTTGGTTAGCACTGAAAACTGACTCCCATGGAAGAGCATCAGAAGCTTATTTATAAACATGATTCAGAAAAAATAAACACCCACCCACACACCCACTTAGGGTTGCCAGGTCCTACCTTTCTGCCAGCAGGGGGATTGATGGGCCTTTCCTGGAGCTTCTGCCATTCACACAAATCACCCGGAAGTGATGTCATCATGCTGAAGATGTCGCACAGTGATGCTCTAGTTTTTGGGCAAAACTCTATGGTCTGAGCCCCATTTTACCATAGAGTTTTGCCCAAATACTAGAGCACCACTGCACAATGTTGGCAGTGTGATGACTTCATTTCCAGGGGACATCATGCTGCATTTTGGGGCATTTGAAGGTGGGGTTTCCCCCGCAGGCCAGCAGCAAGTAGGAGCCTGCAAAAACAGGGGAAGCCTGCCCGGACCCGGGGGCTGGCAACCCTACCCCCACTCCTGTTGAATACTACAAAATTAACTTTATTCCACACAAAGCAGTTATTAGCACCAGATCCCATTATTTGGCACTGATGAAGCTAAGCAATTAGAATAGAGCTGTCTCTTCATTAGAGCAGATGTCATGGAAAACACTTTTCTTTCCACCTCAAGTGTAAACACAGTGCTGATATTTAACCACAAATTATTATTTCTGTGAGGCTAGTAAAATAGACACTATGAAGTCTGATCACTTTACCCTGGAGAATTCATACAACACATCCAGTGGACAAGAGGAAGAAAAACCTGCAACCTGTTTGTTGCTACCATCTAGTGGAGTAAAATGATATTGCCATTCAAATAAACTTCCTTGTGAGGATGCAATACAGGTCTATATTGGACACACACCTGAATCAGACCATTGGTCCATCATAGTCAGTATCAGGCCCACAGCCATGGTGGGGCATTTGGGGGCAGAGCCCCACCAGGGATGAACCCTACCCCACCCTCGCTGCACCACGCTCCTTACCTCTGCCCCTCTGTGGCCTTGCGGGCTCTTCCAGGGAAGCTGCC